TTAATCTCTCTGGTCTTAATCCCATTCCTTACTTCTACCCTTACTTCTACTTATACCTGTTCTCTGTGAGTTGGGGGACTGGCTAGGCTGAGTTTGCCCCCTCCTTAGCTGAAGTCCCTTTGTAGGTATTCTAAGCTGTGGCTTCATTGGTCTCCACTGTGGCAGCTTCAAGGAATTTGCTGGAATTCTTAAGCCATTGCAGGCTCCCTTCCATCTTTTCCTTTCTTTAAATTGAGATAAAATTCATGTAAGGCAAGATTACCCATTTTAAAGTGAACAATTCAGTGACATTTAGTGCATTCACAATGTTGTACAAGTGGTGCCTCTATCTAGTTCCAGAACATTTCTGTCAGCCCCAAAGGAGACCTCGTACATGTTCAGCAGTTGCTCCCCAACCCCTTTTCCAACACCTGGCAACCATCAATGTGTGTTCTCTCTATAGATTTACCTACTCAGAATATTGTATGTAAATGGAATTATACAATATGTGACCTTTTGTGTCCGGATTCTTTCCATTAGCATGATGCCTTCCAGAGTCCTCCATATTGCAGCACGCACCAGGGCTCCATGCCTTCTTCATGGCTGTGTCATATTCCACCGTGTGGCTAGACCGCAATTCATTTATCTGGTGATGGACATTTGGGCTGGTTCTAGCTTTGGCTGTTGTCAATAGTGCTGTTATGAACATGCATGTACACAAATTTGAGTACCAGTTTTCCAACCCTTTGGGTATATATCTAAGCGCAGAACTGCTGAGCCTATGATAATTCTATGTTTAACTTCTTGTGGAACTGCAAAACTATTTCTGCCACAGCTGAGTCATTTTACATTCCCACCAGCAAGTGTATGAGAGTTCCCGTTTTTCTCCACATCCTCACCAGCACTTGTTATTGTAAGAGTTTTTGATAACAGTCATCCTCGTGGGTATGAAGTGCTACTTCTTTGTGGTTTTGATTTACATTTCCCTAAGAACTGATGAACTTGAGCATCTTTTCCCATTCTTTCTTGCTGTCAGGTTATACTGTTTTTGTTCCTTCATGATTATTTTAAAAGGAGGAAGAGGTGTGGTGGGCAGAGGGATGTGCCACCTAAACCCCCTTCCGGCGAAGGCCTTCTTGCTCCAGTTGCTGAGAGGGCACCTCCTTCAAGGCTGTCCACCCCTTTAGGGCTTGCTGCAGCTGCAGAGAGCCACCTTGCCCAGGCTTGGACCCCTCCCAGGGTAGCTGCGTCCAATGACTTATGAAGGTGATGTATACATATCTGGCCATATTGGCCTAACTTGAGACGACTCTGAAGGGCTGCTCGAGTTCTAGACTGGCCCACGGGGTTAGCCAGGGCCCGTATCACAGCTCAACTGCCGCTTCTTCCCACTCTTGCTCCCTTCTCATCCTTTCTACACGGATTTCTCCCAAAGGCACTCGCCGACAGACATCCCGCACACTTAACTGTGTGTTAGTCAGCTTTCTGAGGAACGCAGACCGTACAAGACAATAAATGCCTATGTCTGGTTCACTAACTCGAACTGGAGGGTGGAACCAATAATTATTTCTTTAATATTCCAGAAACGTATTTACTCCTTGCTTGTACATATTCGGTATAGAAAGACTGGGGCTGTTTTCTTTGGATGCCCCTATTAAATCTCATGTAGGCACAGAGTTACAAAGTGGTGCCAATCTGGAGACATGGGAGACAAGATATTTTCATTTTTAGGGAAACCAATCTGCTCCCTTAAAAACTTCTCAGTGAGTTGAAGCTACCATGTGAATGGCCTTGATATTTAGGAGGGTGTTTCATATTTTGGTCTGTTGGGATAAGTAACTACTTGGGAAAAAAAAATCTGCTTTTTTTTTTTTCCTTACATGGGGCTTCGTGGCCAACAGAGTGAGTCTTCAGCTTTCGCTTTCAGGTCTTCTGCATCGTATGTCCCTCTACTTCAGCATTTCCTCCTCCAAGCCTCTCCAGTTGCCCTGCAAGTTCAATCTCAGCTGTGTCTGTGGCCTCCTGGGCTTTGTTGAAACATGGAAGACATCCCCTTTTCCCTCAGTCTTTTCTTTGATTATGGCCATAGCTAGATTGAGGACAGAGAGGCCATCCATTCTGCCCAGAATTGGGTAGCGTCACATACCCTGGCTGCATTCCCTTCTGGAGTCCAGAGTCCTCTGTCAAGCTCATGCGGTTGTTGGCCGAATCCATTTCTTTGTGGTTCTAGGACCAAGTTCTCAGCTTCCTACTGGCTGTTGGCTGGAGGCCACCCTCCGGTCATAAAGACCCTCCAAAGTTCCCTGCCATGTGGCCCTCTCCAGGGGCAGTTACAATATGGCTTTTCCAAGACCAGCAGGAGAAGTCTCGTATGTGCTAGCAAGATGGACTTATACGTACATCAAAATGTAGTCACAGATGTGAAATACTGTCTCACCTTTGCCATATTCTATTGGTTAGAAGCTCAGGTTCTACCCACACCCAAAGGGAGGGGATTATACAAGGGTGTGACTCCTCGGGGGTTACTTTCAGGTATGTCCACCACAGCTGCCCATGAATGCTAGCTGTTCACCCTTATTCAAATCTAAACTCTCCCAGAAAGATCCAGATGAGCCTCCATCTCAAATGCATCATATATCCCCATATCAGGTCCCTCATATCTGCCAGTAGAGGCCCAGCTGTTCAACAGAACAGGCTTTCCAGTTTGATGTACTCCAACAACTCAACAGTATGTCAGAGGGCGCTTGAATCAATGTTGGAGTGCATGAACTTGTCTTCACATCCAACTGCTTCCTCTGGAGAAACTTTTCTTTCTGACAAATCGGAAGTCCACCTGTATGACGGCGATCTGGTTATGCTGCTGTCCTCCTCCCCACAGATTGTGCACTCCCGGGGGTGGAGGGTGGGGAGCAGGTGAGGGCCAGTCTGCCTCCTTCTTCCTCATATATCCCCGCCCCATGCCCACGGGCCTGGATGGGGTGGCTCAGGAAATGTTTGCCAACTTGAAAGGAGTCCACAAAAGAACAGATGTTTTTTGGAGGCAGGAACTGTGTGTGACTTGCCTCATTCCCTTCTTTGGTTAACCCTGGGGCTTAGTGAATAATTATTTATTAATGGCTTTTCAATAAAGACAAGTATGATATTATAAGGTCCTCAGTTCACAAGCTCACGGGAGACATCTGTTGCTATGAGAAAGTATTGCAGATGCCAAGGAAAGGAAATAAAGGGTAAGAGAAATTTTCTAAACATCCACCGGAGTCTTTGTTGACACCAGGCTCAGAGTTTCCTGAAACATTAAGGCCATACTTTTGAGAGGGAAAGGGTAAGACCCTGAGCAGCCACTGATACAAGGGAAGTGTCAGGATGAGGAGGGGCAGCTGAGGTGCCACCTGAGGCTTGACAACTTGGGTCCTTGGCTGGAGCTGGCCTACCCTGAGGGACCCGGCAGGCTCTGGTGTGGGGAGTGCAGGCAGACGCTGCAGCGTGGCTTCCAGGCTCTGGTGTGAACAGCCGCCCACGCGGGTCCCTGAGGAAAGAGCAAAGCAGGTGGGGCAGCAATTGGCAGCAGGCTGCCTGGGATGACCGGGCTCTGGTTCCCTCCTGAGGAAGCAGGCCTCTCATGGAGAACCGCCCTGCTCCTCCACCTCCTGCCTGTGTGTGCTTCGTTAAGTGATGTAGCCTCTTTGAGTTTTAATTTCTGGAGCTACAAAATAGGAATGATAGTAGTAGCATCTAGCTCACAGTGTTGCTGTGAGAAGAAAACAAGCATGTTGCCTGGGTTATAGGAAGCCCCCAATAACAATACTAGTATTTATGCATTCCTGTATGCAAAAAGAGAGAGAGAGAGAGAGAGATCTGCAATCTTCCTGGCATTGTGTTAGGTAATTTCACTGGGAGGTGGGGGGTGAGTCAGAGACGGGAAGAGAGGGACTGTGATGTCCTTCTCAACCTTCAGTCCCAGGCAGACGGTGAATTCAGGTTTCTTGCCATGGAAGGAGTTAGGACCCTCACTCCTCCCATCTCCTATGCCTTCCCCATCTCCAGTTCACTGCCAACCACCCCAGCCTCTGTGCTGTCCCCTAACACCATCACATGGGCTCCCCACAATGGCTGCTCGCTCTGCCTGGAGCACCCTTCTTGCAGACATCCGTGTGGCTTGCTCCCTTACCTCCTTCAAGTTTCTGTTCAAATGTCACTTTACTAATGAGGCTTTGCCTGGCCACCCTACAGACAATAACAAGCAACTCCTCCTTGCCTTATTTTTGTCCAGACTGGGCATGCCCACTGCCGTTTTTTATTTGGTTATTTATTGTCGGCAAGTTCCACCAGGGCAGGGACTTAGAATTCCTGAGCCACCAGCAGAGCTTGGTATACATATCTGCAGTACTTAATAAGTACTTGTTGAACAAATGCATTAAAAGGGGGTCCTTTTAGGGGCGCCTGGGTGGCTCAGTCGTTTAAATGTCTGCCTTCGCTCAGGTCATGGTCCCAGGGTCCTGGGATGGAGCCCCACATCAGGCTCCTTGCTCAGCGGGGAGCTTGCTTCTCCCTCTCCCACTCCCCCTGCTTGTGTTCCCTCCCCCCCTCTCTGTCAAATAAATGAAAAAAATCTTCAAAAAAAGGGGGTTCCTTTTAGATGGAGGAGAGAATGGCATTTGGGCTGGTCTGCGAGGAAGTGTGACATTTACGGTGAAGGGAAGGGCTTCCAGGTGGAAAGCATAACACAAGCAAAGGCAAAGAGGCAGAAAACTGCTGGTTAAGGACAGTGGTTGCATCGCAAATCTTTGGAAACACCCGGAAAGATTCTCACGGCAGCTCCCCAAGGCGGTAGTTGCCGGCGGGCTGGCGGGCCTGTGAGGCGGACGGCTCAGCTGGGCGGGGCCGGGTCCGCGCTCCAGGCTCGGCGCTCGAACCCCGGCCCCGCCCTCTGTGGCCGGGATTACGCGCAGGGGCCTCGCGGGCCAGCAGGCCCCGCCCCCCTAGGGGGCGGGGCGGGTACGAGGCACGCAGGCGCACTAGCATTCGGGCCCCGGTGCCCGGGCCTGTGGGGCCGGCGGCGGCCGCTTCGCGCAGACGGCGTCGGCGACGTGGGGCCCGCGTCCGGCCCGTCCGCCGCAGCCTGTCGCCGTCGCCCCGGAGTGACCGCGCCGGGGCAGAAATGCTGCTGGCCGGCTGGTGCCTGCTTTGGCTTGGCTTAGTCCTGGCCTCGGTCTGCGCCTCCCTTGAGTCTGCGGCGCCTGGCAACTGGACCATAGGTGCAGCCCTAGCCCTCGCTCAGATTGCGGTCTCCCTACCTCCTCCTCTGCCTACGTCCATCCTTAACTTCCTGTCTCTGTCCCATCTACTATTCCGTATAACATCCATCCTTCCTTTCCTCCCTCCTACGATCTTTTCTTCCCCCCCATCCTTCTCTCCCCCCCTAAATTCTTCTTTCCTTTCCTCTATCCTTCCCTCCCTCCCTCATCCAGGCTTGAGGCCATGCTCAGAGCCTAATTCTGCCACCCGGGACTGGAGCTTCTGTGCACCTACTCCCACCCTCCCTGAGGCACAACCCTAGTCTCCCCCTCCCTGGCTTGGTTGGCGGGGCTGTCCAGGGTGCAGGGGCCAGCCTAGGGCCACTCAGTACCCTAGCACCAACCATGGCTGGGGGTTCATTGTCAGTGCAGGTGATCTCACTGAAGCTCCTCCCTCCCATACAGCTCCTCTGAATGTCCTTCTAATCATCGTGGATGACCTGCGCCCTTCCCTGGGCTGTTACGGGGACAAGCTCGTAAGGTCCCCAAACATCGACCAGCTGGCATCCCACAGCCTCCTCTTCCAGAATGCCTTTGCCCAGGTATGTCTGGGGACCTCTAGGTGTGGGTGTGTGCTTTGTGCAGTGGGTTAGGGGATGGGGTCCTCCCAGCTACGGTTAGATGGCACCGATTGGGCCAGGCATCTCTGGAAAATGGTGGTAGAGAAAACCTGGTTGTGTACCGGCAAGGAAGCTTGTGCCTTCAAGCTTGGGCAGAGGTTGTCCCTTGACCCTAACATGCTCAGGATGGTCCTGCCCAGCTGTCTTCCCCAAAGGGGATTGCCTGGTGCTGAGAAGGAAGGGGTGTTGCAGAATGGCACTCTCAGGTCTGCTAACTGACCTTGGGCAAGCACCATGCAGCTTGCCCTCACGGGGCAGCCTTTAAGACCCTTGCTTCAGTTCACCTGTGGGACACCAGCACACAGGACACAAACATCTGCTTGTTTGAGGGGCTGAGTCTTTTCCTGCTTCTTTGTGGGAAGACTTATTCCTGGTGTCTGAGTGAGGCCCTTGTCCCACTGGTTGGCTTTGATCTGCATGACTCAGCTGCCAAGCTGTTTTGCTGAGGACTCTTGAGGTTGCCTGGTTACCTTTTAGCATCCAGACTTTGTTTGCCTCTGAGGACATTTCCCTCTGCTTCTGCTCCCTAACAGCAAGCAGTGTGTGCCCCGAGCCGTGTGTCCTTCCTCACTGGGAGGAGACCAGACACCACCCGCCTGTATGACTTCAATTCCTACTGGAGGGTACATGCTGGAAACTTCTCTACCATCCCCCAGTACTTCAAGGAGAATGGCTACGTGACCATGTCGGTTGGAAAAGTCTTTCACCCTGGTACTGTTTGCTGTCCAAAATCTGGGTTCTTTTCTGTTTTGTGCCCAAGGGCTGGAATCCCCCTCTGGGGGCTGGGGCTGTGTTTGCAGAGGCCTGTTTGGGCTGGGTGGACACCTCCTTAGTCACTGCTGTCTTTGTACAAAATACTACTTCTCACCTTAGCTTCATGTTCTCACCGAAAGTGAAAAAGGGTAGTAGGACTTTTTTCTTTCGGCAACTAGTCGTGGTGCTGTTTGGTTCCTTTGGCTTCTCAGCCGGAAGGAAGGGCACTGGCTGGGGAGGTGGCAGTGCTGGGTGCGAGTCCAGCTCTGCACCTGACTGACCCTCTGGGCCCCGGAATCCCTGTCAGTAAAGGGAGAGCAGGGTGGCTATGAGGATTTGCCAGTGAAGAGGCCCGCACTTGGGCGCGGCTGCCCATCGTCTGTGAGTTAGGTCAGCAAGAGGAGTGTAAGCTGGTGCCCAAGGCCTGAAGGGTGCCAGGGGCCACCAGTGCTGACTTCCAACACGGCCTGATAAACTGGCTCTTTTTAATGCCAAAATGAGAATGCTGAAACACAAACTTTAAAACTTTTTTAAAACCTATTGAAGTAATGCATGGTTATTTGACAAAAAGTTGGGGGTAAAAAAAGGAAAGTATAAACTAAAGGATATGAATTACTTGTAATTGCACCACACTGAGGAGGGCTGAAGTTTGATGTTCCCTCATTCCAGGCGTATTCTTTTTCTGATTTGAGATTTTCCTGTGTATACAGTTTTATGTTGTGAACGTTTTAAACAAACTTTTCGCCATATGGCTGCCCTTCGTGCATGTCACTTTTTAACAACAGCACGGTCGTCTCACGTACAAATCCACTGTACTTTAGTCTCCAGTTGATTTCAGGTCTCCACTGTCACACGTACTGCTGGGATGAACGTCTCTGTAGAGGGAACCGATGGACAGCGGTACCAGGGATTCGGGCTCTCGGGTTCCAGTCCCAGCTCTGCCACTTCTTAGCTGTGCAGTTCACCTTGGGCAAATCGTTCTTCCTCTCTCAGCCTCAGATTCCTTCCCTGGCAAATGAGTCATAGCTGCTTGGATTACCTCCCAGGGTAGCGTCCCAGTTCTGGTAGTTCAAGGGTGTGAAAGTGGGTTGAAAGCCCACTTTATACGACAGTAGTGCTTATTGCTAAGGACGAGGACTTGAACGTTTTCCGTAGCTTTGCCTTTGCTCACTGGTGACATCAGCAGGCTCAGCAGCCTTCTGGAACCCAGCTGGCCAGTCCAGGTTGAGGATAGCATTTGGCTGGGCTAAGTGGGGCCCAGTTTTGGAAAGTGTTTCTGTCAGGAATCGTGTGTCGCCAAAAGCCCACCATCAGAACTTTCCGCAGTTGGCGCTTACACCCTGACAGCCTTTGCCTGACTGAGCACAGCAGGAGGGGAGAGACACGTTTGGGGAGAAGAGGAAGTAGGGCAGAGGGAAGGCCGCGCTTCAGGAAGGGAGGCTAAGGAAGGCCCGAGTGGTGTTGATTATTAGATTGGGGAATCAGGCTGTAAGCAGCATGTCTTACCCAGAGAACGAGAGCTTAGGCTGCAGTCCTTGTGGAAACATGTTTTTCAGCTGGGTCTCTGTTCTCACGACCTTGCCTGCGAGGCAGGGACCTGTTCAAGGAAGACAGCAGCTACCATTGATCGACTGCCAGCGACGTGCCAGTTCCTGTGCTGGCCGCTCCCACAGTCCTCTCCTTAGCAGCAGGCTGGGGGAGGTTTTAGCATCAGCATCATTGCTTGAGGAGGAACTTGAGGCTTACGGAAGTCAAGGAGCTTGTGCAAGGTTGCGCGGGTAATACGGGCAGTGCTGAGATTTGAACCCGGTTCTGTTGGCCCGCGCTGCTCTTTCCACTGTGCTTGCTGTGTTGATAAGCCCTGCACCCACCGCCCCCTGTCCCTCCAGTCCCACCTTGCCTGGTGCTGCCTGTTGGAGCCTGATGGTCACTATGCTGGTGACGCTTTCTCCTGTGGTTCTTTCTACCTACACTACCGTCTCTGCTCCTCCTGTCTCATCCCGCTAGGCGACGCTTCCCTTCAGATCCCGCACAAGCCTCACCGACTCCTCACAGCCCTCGCTGACCCATCACCTCTGTGGCCCCCCCCCCTTACACGGCACTTCTGCTCTCTAGATGGCTGGCCAGCCTTCTGTAGTTTCACTGTTCTTTTCTCTTCCCAAATGGACTACAAACTGCTGCACTTAGGGCCGGGTTTCTGCTTCATGAATGAGCACTGAACCTGGGGTCCTAAGGCCTGGGTTTGAGTCCCAGCTCTCTTATCTAATATGTGGTTGGTATCAGTCTAGGCACTGGCCTTCCCTGAGCCTCCCCTTCTGCACCTGGCGCATGGTGGTGCTGCTGCCTCTTTGTAGGGTCTGGGAGAGGCTCCAGCAAGGGCTCTGTAGGGCCGCGTTGCTGTAGCAGGCTGGCCGATCCTACCCTTTTGGGTTTCTTCCTCAGAGCGTAGCATGAATTGCCAGGGCTTAAGGGACTGGGAGGTCAGATGCCTAGTACTCAGATAGAAACCTAGAGAGTTGGCTTTAATGGGGACTTCTCATCATCTGCCTAAGCTCTTGATTTTATAGATGAGGAAAAAGTCCCAAAGAAGGGAGATGATACTTCTTTTTTTTTTTTTTTTTTTTTTTTTTTTAAAGATTCTACTTATTTGAGACAGAGAGAATGAGAGAGAGAGAGCACATGAGAGGGGGGAGGGTCAGAGGCAGAAGCAGGCTCCCCGCCGAGCAGGGAGCCCGATGCGGGACTCGATCCCGGGACTCCAGGATCATGACCTGAGCCGAAGGCAGTCGCTTAACCAACTGAGCCACCCAGGCGCCCGGGAGATGATACTTCTGTAGCTGTTCACGAAGTTTTGATTTGGAGTGGGGAGGGCATTGAAGGACCCTTCAGGTTTTATTTAATGACTTTCTTTTTCCCCCCCTTAAGGAATATCTTCCAATTATAGTGATGATTCTCCGTATAGTTGGTCTATTCCACCTTATCATCCCTCCTCTGAAAAGTATGAAAACACCAAGGTAAGGATGTGAAAGGGGTACTGTTCTGAAGAGGAACTGCTTTTTCCCTGTGTAGCGGGATTAAGCTTAACTGTTGCGTATACCTCACGTTCTTTCAAGCTGGTTATACAGTGAAGTTTGTGGGTTTTGTCTGTGATCATGACTTGACAGAGACGGGTGTTACGATCTTTTTTTTTAAAGATTTTATTTATTTATTTGACAGAGACAGAGAGAGAGAGCACAAGTAGGGGGAAGTGGCAGGCAGAGGGAGAGGGAGAAGCAGGGGAGCCCGATGTGGGGCTCCATCCCAGGACCCCAGGATCATGACTTGAGCCGAAGGCAGACGCTTCACCAACTGAGCCACCCAGGCGCCCCAGAACTTCATTACTTTCTTTTTAAAGATTTTATTAAGTAATCTCTACACCCAAAGTGGGGCTCAAACCCCCAACCTTGGGCGCCTGGGTGGCTCAGTCGTTAAGCGTCTGCCTTCGGCTCAGGTCATGATCCCGGAGTCCTGGGATTGAGCCCCACATCGGGCTCCCTGCTCAGCGGGAAGCCTGCTTCTCCCTCTCCCACTCCCCCTGCTTGTGTTCCCTCTCTCGCTGTGTCTCTCTCTGTCAAAGAAATAAATAAAATCTTAAAAAAACAAAACAAAAAACAAACCCAATCTTGAAATCAGGAGTTGCATGCTCTACCGACCAAGCCAGCCAGGTGCCCCAAAACTTCGTTACTTTTTATAGCCAAATAGTATTCTATTGTGTGGGTAGAACACATGTTATTTATCCATTCACCAGTTGGTGGACATTTGGGTTGGTTCCACTCTGTGGCTACTACTAACAGTACTGCTACAAACATTCACGGACACATTTTTGTGTGGCTTAAGTTTTCTGTTCTCTTGGGTAGAATTGCTAGGTCAAGTATTTGTGTGGACTTAGGTTTTCATTTTTCTTGGTGTCCCCCTAGGTGTGGAATTGCTGGGTTATGTAATGACGCTCTGTTTAACTGTTTGAGGAACCGCCGGCGTGTTTTTCCACAGCAGCTGCCCTGTTTCACACCCCCAGTGGCTATGGATGAGGGTGCCAGTTTCTTCCCGTCCTCGCCAGCACTTGTCATTGTCCAGTTCTAAAATTTCTAGCCATCCTAGCACGTGTGGGGCGGTAGCTCACTGTGGTTTTGACTGGCATTTCTATGATGAATAATGACATGAAGCATCTTTGCATGTGCTTATTGGCCATTTATCTGTCTTGTCTGGAGAGACATCTATTCAAGTCCTTTGCCCATTTTTTAATTGGCTTTTTTTAAAATTATTGAGCTGGAGACAGATTTGTTTTGATCATTAGTTTCCATGGGTTTCCTTTAATTAATTATGACCTGGAGACAGAAGATTAACAGCAAGAAGCTAAGTGCTGGGGATTTCTGGCCTCTGCCTGGAGAAGAGGAGATGCTTCTCTGTTTCAGTTCTCCTTCGTGTGTGCCCGGCCAGGGTACATGAGGCGGACTTAGAGGGCAGCTGCTGTGAATGCTAAATCCATTGTGCGTGCACACCAACCTTCCTGACTTCTCTTTCTTGCATTTAAAGAGCTGACTTGATATGTTTTGTCTTGAAAGACATGTAGGGGGCCGGATGGAGAACTCCATGCCAACCTGCTTTGCCCCGTGGATGTGGCGGATGTGCCAGAGGGCACCTTGCCTGACAAACAGAGCACTGAGCAAGCCATCCGCTTGTTGGAAAAGACGAAAACATCGGCCCGCCCTTTCTTCCTGGCTGTTGGGTATCATAAGCCGCACATCCCCTTCAGATACCCCAAGGTGAAGAGCTGCCTGACAGCTGACCCCACACCTCTGTGACAGCTGTGTCATTTGCTGAAGGAGGGGTTGGTGTAGTGGGGCCATGTCCTGCCATCCCTGGTCACCAGGGGTGCCTGATGGTGCTATTGTACTTAGTGGCATGAAGATGGGATTCAGAGGTCAAGGCTAAGAAGTAGGCTTAGGGCATGTAAGAATCTTGTTGGGAATGCTCGGCTTCCTCCCTCTCCACTGGAGGGTTTTATTTCTTTTCCTTGAACTCGGGGAGCACGTGTTGGGTTGGACGGTAACATCAACATGGAGAAGTCAGAGCTGGCCGCTGATGCCTGTGGTAAGGGACGGTCCTTGGGGCACAATTCCAAGGGCCGTGAAGCCCTCTTCAGTAATTGGCATTCCCCCTGAGCCTGGCACGTGAGACCCCTTCCACACAGGGTGCTGCATTGCTCGTTGCAACCTGAGTGCTGTGCTCACCTGTCTATCATTTAGAGTGTATAATCTCTTCTTTTTAAAAATCTTTTTCAGTTTTTCCCTGTTGTGTCTTCCCTGGGCCTGAGCAGCGCATTCTTTTGACTTTGTAAAGAATGCCCCTCATTTGTGTTGGGAGTGGAGAGCCAAAGGCGTGCTCTTTGATGCTTCGATTGGCCCAGGGGATCTCACCTTCCTAGCAGGATCTGTCCCCCTTTGACGGAGGGAGACTCACTTCTGCCTCTTGTGCAGACAGGAGCTCACCTAGCCGGCCTAGCTGCTCTCCTTAGCAAGGCCTGCTTGCAAGGCTGGCCTTTGGCCGGGCTCTGGGAACCTGGACCCTGGGAGAGTTCGCACCGCTCCCCAAGCGAGGAGTGGCTCCCTGTGCCCACACTGTTTACGCACACCCCTGCTCTCCCGCCTAAAGTCTGTGGCGTCGATATGTGCAGGCAGAGGGGGCCTGGGTGGGCAGCCCCAGTAAACAGCCCGCGTGCTGAGGCTCTAATGAGCTTCCATGGCAACAGCATCTCACACACGTTGTTACACAACTCATTGCTGGGGGAATTAAGCACGTCCTGTATGACTTCACTGGGAGAGGATTCTGGAAGCTTGTGCCTGGTTTTCCCTGGGCTTCGCTCACGTGGCTTTGCCCTTTGCTGATTGTGTTTGGTAGCCGCAGGTAGGACTGTTCTAAGTTCTGTGAGCACTCCTGAGGAGTTGCCAAACCTGAGGGAGGTTTTAGGAACTGGAAATATCCCCTACCCCTTTTCCAGCTGGAGGGGAAGTAGGAAGTGGGGACAGAAATAGGATGACGTTGATTTGTATGAGAAAAGAGCTGTTGCTGCTTGGTTTATAGGAAACAAGTGGCATGATTTCATTACCATGGGCATCTTGTGACAGTGACCTTAGGCCTGACCTTCAGGTAGGGGAAGCTACCTGGGGAGTGTCAGTGAGTCACCGTGTAAACACATCCCGGGCTTAGAGAAAAGGCAATAGAAAGACCTGGAGATTCCCAGCCTTGTGCCTTTGCTGAAAGAATGACAACCTGGTGTCTTTGTGTGCTTTTCCCCCAAGGAGTTTCAGAAGCTGTATCCCTTGGAGAACATCACCCTGGCTCCTGACCCCCACGTCCCTGCTGGCCTTCCTCCCGTGGCCTACAACCCCTGGATGGACATCAGGAAGCGGGAGGACGTCCAGGCCTTGAACCTCAGTGTGCCCTATGGCCCAATTCCTGTGGATTTTCAGGTACCAGGGACATATTTGGGGGAATTCCTGGGCTCTTATGTATGGCATGATGTCATCGGTGACAGCACCCCACCTATCGTGTCTTACTCAGAATCTTCTCTGTGCTAGGTGTCTTCTGAGGCGCTGGGGCTGGGGGTGGTCTGGAGGAATTTAGGATATGGGAAGTGCTGGGTGGTTATCGTCTCCCAAGCCGTGTCTCCACTTGCAAAGAAGCGGTGGGGGGAGGGCATCTGGAGATGTGGTGATTGACTGGATGTTGGCACTGGGGTAGGGAGGAGGTCTGGATGACCCATTCACTGACTCATGGGGGATGCTGTTTAATTCATGTGACAGTTCATCAGCTGTAGAGTGGCGGGTGGCTACCGTGCAGCTCCAAATGTTCAGTTTGCTGGCACTTGCACGGCCCCTCTGTGGGAAGGCCTACGCAGGCACCTATCACTCTCGGCTGGTGGTGCACTGAGTAGGGCCTTGATGCAGAGGGAGCCAGGGCGCCGACGTGGCCAGTGCCATCCAGCTGCAACATCTGATGTCCCTTTGCCATTGTGTGGAGGCGGAGTAGCCACAGAGTTAGACTCCTCAGCTGACTCATCAGTCACCCTCTCCCTGGAGTGCAGAAAACATGCTGACCAGTGCTCTTTCTGGAATATTCCACAGGCAGCCTGCAGTGAAAGGTAGAGGGCAATGGTTTTAAAGGGTGCTTCCTGGACCACCTGCATCAGAATCCCCATGAGGGCTTGTTGGAAGTGCAGCATCCTGGCCCAACTCAGACTTGGGGGATTGGGAGCTGGAGGAGGGGCCTAAGAACTGGCATTTGCAAAAGCACCCCTGGCAATTTGGATGCACGCAGAAGCCTGCAAATACTGCCATAGGGTATAGTTCAGAACAAAACAAAATATCCAGGCGTCTCTTGCTAGTCAGAGCTGTTTGGACAGTGAGGGTTTGGGTGGTGAGGGGTGTGCGCCCCTTGTGTCCGTGGGACTCCCGAGGTTCACCTGGCAGTGGTGAGAGTTGGGAAGGGAGCGGCTTCATCATGTGGCTCTGTCCCTGACTTCCCGTCACAGGGGTTCTGAGAGCAGGGTTGTTCGAATGGCATCTCCGAGCCTGCACCCGGATGCCTTGTTAGTGCCGGTCACTTAAAATGTCCCTTTAAAATGGACTGTGTCCCAAGGAGGGTGCTTAGTGTTTTCTGTGTGTCATCTCCTCTGGTCCCCATGGAAACCGACTGGGGTACATGCCCTCCCTGTTGTCCAGGTGGAGAAACTACAGGCAGGGCGGTGTGGTGACTTGGCCCAGATCACAGAGTTAGTGCCATGGGGAGTCCAAATTCCCCACTGGAGACACGGAATGCCAGAGCCTCGTGCTTTGTCTTGTCAGTTCTTAACAGCCTGGGTTCGAATTCCCGTTCTCCCCCATACCAGCTGCGCAGCCCCTGGCAAGTCCCTTTACCTCTCTGAGGCTGTTTCCTTATCTGTAAAACGGAAACGAGGTGGAGAAAGGTTTCCAGCAGGGAGCACAGCGAACCTGAGAAAACATCTAGGATGGTGCCAGCCTCATGTGAGGGCTCCTTCAGATGCCCTCTCCCCACCCCCCTGCCCACTGGTGCTGTTGCCGCCCAGAGGACCTCCCTGGTGTGCTTGCGTGCTGCTCCCTGCCCCACATTCTCCTTGAACTTGGGCCCTGCTCACTGCTCTCTGGCAGCTTTGGGTGTCTGCGCCCAGGCCGCATCTCCCTGCGCTCTTGAGCCTCTCAGTTCTGCCCTCTTCAGCCTCCAGCCCTCTCGCTCTGCTCCACGGGAGGGAGGGACCTCAGGGCCCACCCTCGGGGGTGTGTCACCTCCTAGGCCGGCTCCTCCTCGGTCACCACCCTGACCACAGTCTCTTCTCACAGCCCTTTCACTCCACATACTCGTTCCCCACACGCCTCCTGGCGATTGTGAGTGGGGACTTCTCCTCTCCCCCTGGGCTTCGCTCCTGGGCAGGTGGCTTACTGTTCTCGCCAGCCCCTCGAAATACTTGTGCCCCGATCACAGGACGGTCCAGCCACCACTCTGCTCTCAAGCCCAAGGTCCTGAGACTGCTGGACTGAATCCGTGCAGCCCTGAGGTGGAGACACACAGGCCCAGCCTCCAGCCCCAGCAGTCCACCCACGAGGGCTCTCTGCTCAGGACTCTCTTGCCCCGTGCGGCTGCTCACCTCCTGTCCTTTACACCCCTCTTCACCATCTCTCAGCAGATGACACCATGCCCGCACCTGCCCTTCAAGGGAGAAGGAGGGAAATGTGGCCTTAGTGTCCGTTCATTCTTCATTCGCTTCTGCCCAGCCTCCTGCCTCCCCAGCCCACTCAGCGCTCTTACCTAGGTCGGCACTGACCTTGGCAAATAAAATTCATCCTTGTGGGACCTAACCTTCCCAAAGTCCCTGCTGCTTTCTCACTGTTGGCTGGTGCCACTCCTCCTTGGCCCCCTCACCGGTCCTCCTGGGCCCTCTCTGCCCCCCTCCTCTTTCTGTGTCTGCTGCTTAGGAGGTGCTGCTCCACTGGGTCAGCCCCAGGGCCCCCACTGGAACCTTCCTGCCCCTTCTCTCCTCCTATCCCAGTCTTGCTCCTGATTTCAGACATGTCTGTCCACTTGCCTGTGAGGGTCATTGCCACGCAATTGCCTGTGGAGACCTCTGCTTCCTAGGACCCATGGGGCCACGCCACCACTCCTGCTCTTCCTTTTCTCCTTCCTCCCCCTCCTCCTCTTCTTGTGCTCCCCATGCCATTGAATGGTGCCACCAGCTGAACAAGAAACCTGGAGTCAGCCTGGGAATCCTCATCTCCTTCCCCGCCGGCTTCCTCCACTGCCCGCACTCCTACTGGATTTCCCTGCATTCCCTTCAGATCCGTACTGCCCTCTTGCTCTGTCATGTCTTTCATGACCACTGCAGTCGGTCTGGGTTCGATTTGTTCATTCAACAAGTGTCTGTCAAGCTCCTCCTACGGGCCCAGCACTGATCTAGCGCCATTCATCCCCTGACAGGTGCTCTGGGCTGTTGTCAGACTCACGCACGTGAAGCCCAGATCGCATCAACTCACCTTGAATCGCCTCAGTGCCTCCCTTGGCCTCCAGCCTGGGTCCCTCCATTGCTCTTCTCCTGCCTGCTGGAAGGTTGTTAGACATGAGCCTCACATGCAAGCCACAGTCTGTGAGGACAAGCAGTTGCCGTCCTGCTGGGTTAAAAGGTAGTCAGAGGAAAGACCCAGCCATGGCCATTGTTATGGGCTCAGTTGTGTTCCTCGAAAACTTAAAGTCCTGACCCCCTCAGAATGGGGCCTTGCTTGGAACTAGGGTCATTTGCAGATGTCATTAGTTAAGATGAGGTCATACTCGAGTTAGTATGACGGGTGTCCCCATAAGAAGAGGAGAGAGACACACCCGGGAAGAAGGCCATGGGGGAATGGAGGGAGAGACGGGGGTGATGCGGCCACAAGCCCAGGAACACCAAGGCTGCCAGCCACCAGCAGCAGCTGCACGAGACGAGCCCCTCCATCAGAGCCCTGGGGGAGAGCGTGGCTCTGCCCACCGCTGCATCTCAGTAGCTGTCTCTTGTTCTAAGCCCCCCGGTTTCTGGTCCTTGGGGAAGGAATAGAACTTCGTTGGGTCCTTGGTGCCACCCTCAGCAGAGTTTGGAGTAACTGGGGGGGGGAGGGGTGCGTTTTAGTTTACATGGTCACCTCCTGGGACCCATAAGAATAGGTGAAGGAGACAGAAAGGGACAGTAAGTGGCACATCCGTCCGCTGTCACCTGTGCCCTAAAGTGAAATCTGATTTGCTTAGAAAAGAATCTCCCTTTTGGATCTGCTGTGGACCCTGGATTTCGCCAGGAGCATGTGGGCCCAGGGGCACAGATGGGGGGGAAATGTGCTTTATGTTTTGGCTGAGCGAGTCAAGGGCATCAGCAGAGGTGACACGGCTCTGTGCACACGGTTAAAGTGGCATCACTCTCCTCCTTTAACGTGCAGCGGAAAATCCGCCAGAGCTACTTTGCCTCCGTTTCGTACTTGGACGCGCAGGTTGGCCGCCTTCTGAGTGCTTTGGATGATCTCCAGCTGGCTAACAGCACCATCATTGCATTTGTCTCCGATCACGGTAAGCATTTTCCGGTCCCCTGGGGAGTCACTCAGAGCACCTGGACTTCTCTGCAAAACATGCTTTTCTAGATTGCCTTCAACACAGGCGTGTTCTCTTTTGGGAATCAGCAGTGCCCCAAGTCTGGGGTCTTGAGGTGCTTTTATGATGGCCTGTTAGTCCTGGGACCTCTCTCCGTAGAGGTGGGGCCCCTTTTGGGTCCAAGGAGCATCTTGGATGCTTGGGTGGGGACCTCGTGGAACCTTTTTTTTTCTGGATGAACTCAGCAGGAACCCTTCATTTGTATGGGGAGCCCTTTTAACCCATGCTTCCAATCTAGAGGGTTGGAGGACTTTTAGTTTTTCTTAGGAGGATCCGGAACAATCCTGGCACGGCCCAGCAAGGCCCTCGGACCTGACTTCACTCCTCCACCCCCAGTCCCTATATTCTTTCTGCCAAGAGCCTGGGGCTTGCAATGCTTTCTCTCTTTTAAGGCAGTTTCCCACTTTTTCCAAAAATGGAAACAATTTATTTAAAAAGATTCTTCTTAATTGGAAAATTTTTAACATGTCCAGGAATAGAGGATAAACAACAACCCCCAGTCCCCATCACTGTGCTCCCCAGTTACCCACTCCCGGTGGTCTTGTTTGGCTCATCCTCACCCCTCCCCTCCCCCCAAATTATTCTGAAGCAAATCCCAGGTTGTTTAGGTTTCTGAACAGTATCTCTAAAAAATTTAGCTCTTTTAAAATATAATCATACTACCATTATCATACTTAGAGATAAGAAAACGGTTCTTTAGTATCGTCAACTGTGTAATGGGACGATATCAACGTATAGTCGTTGTAAAAAGAAAAAAGGATAGAGAGCATACAATGTAGGGCCAGAGCACCCTGCCCTTCCCTCTTATCCCACCTGCCCAGGCCGACCTGGTGCTGACAGACCTTTGGTTGTGCAGCGACAGGTGGCTGTGGTGTGTGCGGGCGTGGGGATGTATGTAATATATAGTCATGGGACGAGGCAGGATCGATTGTGCTTATCAACTCTTTTGTTCCCTGGTTTGCTTTTTCCACTGGATGTCACGGACAGTTCTCCATGTGATTTCTCACGGGCCTACCTTAAGCCTTGTAAAGACCCACATTATTTTGTTATATACGGAGGCGTCATAATGTTTCGCTCTCTCCCTAATGGTTTGCCATCCACTTCTGACCCCTCTTGTCAGTGCTCAGTTTCCTGTCCCAGCGCCAGCACAATCCGCTGTGCCCGGGAAGAAGGCAAGGCCCACTCAGAAGCTCTCTTTGCTCTAAGGCCGCTGCATTGATTACAAATGGCTCTTCTCAAATGGCCCTCCTGAGATTCCCTGCCTCCAAACCACAAAAGCCTCTCGAATCCATACATGGCAGCTTTATGTGGCTTTGGTTATTTTGTAACATGAAATGCTCAAGGTGCAATCTCTGTTTTTTATATATTTTTTTATATCAAAAAGGGTGCTTAGAAGCAGCATTAGAAATTTCCAGCTCGAGTGGTCAAGCTGTCTTTTGCAAGGAAGGTTTTCAATCAGGGTTAAGAGGGTTGTGTTTTTCATGAAGGTTAAGGGTCTGCAATCAAGTTCTATTTTTTTGGTCTGTGCTTTATTTTAACAATTGAACAAGATATCTCTGCCTTTTTAAAAGGTGAGCGATGTGGCAGCATCGCAGTTCATGGTTTGGTGGTGCACCCCCTCAAGTGGAAAGTGGAACCCGTGGGACTTGTGTCCAGAGAGGGCAGCACAGGACAGGGCAGCATCCCCGCCCAGTCAGGACGAGCCCCTCTCAGGAGGGGAGGCCTGGCCTGCGTGCAGGGTTGGGGGGATGGGGGCGCTGGGCCCTCGGAGCCCAAGCTGGGTGCAAGTGTTAGTTGCTTGCTAAAAGAAGATAGTTTTGTTTGGGAATTTAGTATGTTTTTTTCCTTCTAGAGGTTTCCTCATTCAAGACAAATGTCTAACTTCAAATAAAGCAGTATTTAGGGAAGATCACCTTGTTTGTGGTAATTACAGAGGAATTTCTCCTATGTGATGAGTTTTTGCTTCCTCTGGTTTCTACAGCAGGGAGTGAAATGGTATCTTAAATGAACAAGCTGAGCTGTGATGTCATTATTTGTTTTCTCTTACTCTGTGCTTTTTGTGAACCAGGGTGGGCTCTAGGTGAACATGGAGAGTGGGCCAAATACAGCAATTTTGACGTCACTACTCGCGTGCCCTTGATGTTCTATGTTCCCGGGAGGACAGCTCCGCTTCCAGAGGCAGGCGAGAAGCTTTTCCCTTACATCGACCCTTTCGATTCTGTCTTGGAATTGATGGAGCCAGGTATAAAATATGCTGAAGTGATATTGCTTGATAGTAAACTCCCTCTACTTTATATGCAAACCATCTCACCGATTCATAGCCCGGGCCTTACCCAGCCCTGTCTTCCTGTCCAGGGTTGGCATTCCTGAGTACCTCTGGGTCCGGGAGGAGTGGCAGGGCCGGAGCCAACACGTACGGCCCCGGTCCACGAGGAGCCTGGAGAGGGGGTGGGACGAAGGAGTAGGCAGCATCCCCAGGATGAGGAGGACTGTCGTGGTGGAGATGACCGTGTGCTCCGAGGCTCAGAGGAAGGGGGCGGCAGACTCCTCCAGGGCAGGAGCCTGCCCCCGACAGATGAGCAGAACTCCGTTACCCGCACCCTTCGGGCAGGGACGCAGCCCTTCGTGAGGGAGGCATTTGCCACATTGGCAGCTCAGCAGTCTAGTGAGCCACTAGACCTATAAGGTCTGCCAGGTGACTCTGCTTCTGCCCTGCCCTCCCCAGCAGTGAAGGGCACGTTTACTTTGCCTTCCACGTGTCAGTCAGTCCCGGCCTTGCAAACGACACTGATACCTCTCCTCTCTAGGTGGAAACCCCCAGGCCTGCAGTTCCTTCACAGTAGTGATAGACCCATGGTTATCCTGGTCTCTGCTTTCCCCAAAGCTCCAGTTTAAAGAAAACATTTCCAGAAGTGTCCCTGGAACAAGATACCCTTTGCTGCCGCATGGGGCGACCTGTGTAGGTTCTTTGCCAGTTCTTTCTTGAGTTGATCTGCTCAGCACAGAGACGAGTTGTGTATGAGTTAGAGTACTTTTTCCATGAACTCTGCAAAACCAGGTTGCCCTTTTCTGGACTTCTGCATTTAATCCATCTAAATCCACTTAACATCTAAATCTTGTCCTTTATATTGATTTTTGTTGATTTGTTGTTGTTGTTGTTGTTCTGGCCCATCATTCTGGCCTTTCTGGATGTTTCCAAGTTTGCTTCATATGGCCCGATTTTATTTTCTCTACATTTGATTTTTGTATGCTGCATACTCTGTCTTCTTTCAAGTCATTGATAAAAAGCTTAACCCATCAGGGCATGATTATAGCCCTCTGTTTGCTTGGAGAAATCTGACAGGTTGAGAATGTTTTTTGAAACTTTTTTGGGGAGGTGTTCAGCAAGTTGTAAATTCATGTAACTGCACTATTCCCAGTTTATTCCCCAATTTTATCTCTAGCCTCTATCTCCTCTCTGAACTTTGGACTGGGATTTCCAACAGCCTGTTCCACTTGGCCAGTCTAACATGCCCAAGCTGGGCTTCTGGCCTTTCACTGTAAGCCTTTCTTTTGACCGTCTTTCCCCTCTCAGGGAATGGCCGTGCTTACTCAGGCCAAAAAATTGTGGAGTCCTCCTGACCCCTGCCTGTCTCCCATCCTCCCTACATATGTGATATGTAGTCTGTCTGCAAGCCTATCGCTCTCCATGCAGTCTGGCCATACTGCTTCTCACCGCCTCATGCTGCCACCTTGGATCACAGTGCCACATGTCCTGCTGGATTCCTGCAACAGCTTCCTGAAGTCATCCTGCTTGTGCCCTTGGCCCGTTGGAGTTCTTCCTCCTCACAGTAGCCAAAGTGATCCTGTCAAAACCCGAGTCAGGGGGTGTCACAGCCCTGTTCTGGAGCCTTCTGTGCCCCTGTCTCACTGAGTGAAAGCCCTTATGATGGCCAACAAGGCCTGACGTGATCTGGGCCCCCATTTCTCCCTGCCCTCATCTTTTTACAAGCATTCCAGGTAGCTGTCTTTGCAACAGCCCACAGTCTGGATTTATCTCATTGCTTCCTCATGACTAGATTCAGGGTAAACATTTTTGACACGTGCACTGCACGTGAGGTGGGGTCACAGTGGGGGCACTTCATGGTGGCCTTCGCTGTTGTTAGTGGTGCCAGATTTGATCACCTGATGAAGGTGGTCATGCCAGCCAGGTCTTGCCATTGTAGAAAGTATCTTTTTTAAGCTGCTTTACTTCTTTTCTTTTTCTTTTACTTACCAAATGTGTAGGAAATAAAATTGGGCTGTATAAAGCTAACTCTTAAAGATCCAGAAAGGCCAGAATGATGGCTCAAAGCCCAGATCTGTTTTAACAGGAATCAACATAAAGTATAGGATTGAGACTTTAAAGATGGCTCAACCACAATGAGATGTCGTTTCATACCCATTCTCAAAATAAATAGAAACCTACGGCACTGGCATGGCGTGGAGAAAGTGGAACCCTCACATTGCTGGTGGGGAGGTAAAATGGCGCAGCCACTGTGGAAAATGGCTTAGTGGTTCCTCACAAAGTTACACGTAGAGTTACCATGTGACTCCACAGTTCCACTCCTAGGTAGATATCCCACAGAATTAAACATAGGTATTCAAGCAAAAACTTGTACGTGAATGTTCAGAGCATCCTTCACAGTAGCCAGAAGGGGGAAGCAACCCATGTCCATTGCCAGATGAATGGAGAAGCCACACGTGGTCTCTCCGTGTAGTGGCATGTTGCTCACCCTTAAAAAAGGCAGGGCATTCTGACACCTACAACATGGGGGAACCTCGAGGACATCGTGGTCATTGAAGGAAGCAGTCCTAAAGGGACAAATACCGTGTGATTGCACTTACACGAGGTCCCGCGAGGAGTCCAGTTCATAGAGACAAGAAAGTAGGATAGTGGGTGCCAGGGGCTGGTGGGAGGAGGAGATGGGAAGGGAGTGTTCAGTGAGGACAGATGACTGTTCAGGAAGGTGAGAAGCGTTCTGGATATGGATGGTGGGGACGGCTGCACAACAGGGTGGATGTTTTTAATGCCCCTGAACGGGACACTACAGAACATCAAGATGGTAAACGTGATGTTGTTTGTAGTCTGCCACAGTCTAAAGGGCATGTGCTGATGTCCAGGAGGGAGTGATCTGCAGGGTAGTACTACTGAGACTCCGAATATCCTGTCCCCCAACAGATTTTTACCCAATGGTTAGGGCTTCTGTTGGTGATCCTTGCCTGAATCAGTGATTACACGGATGGTTCCAAAAGTCACAGATTTTTACAAGTGCCAACCGGCTGTGGGCACCTTCATTTTGCATCCTCTTGTGCGGTGAGGTGCCAAGTTGGCGTTGTTCCTAAACTCGTGGGCCCAAAATAAATGCAAGAGAACAAAAGACAACCTGTGGAGCCCAGACATGCTCCCTTCTTCATCCTGTGAGCTGTGCAGGCTTCTGTAAAGTAGTCTGTTCAGCTGGATTGCTTCCCGTTTCAGGCCGGCAAGTCACAGACCTCGTGGAACTTCTCTCTCTCTCCCCCACACTCGCGGGACTTGCGGGACTGCATGTGCCACCTCGCTGTCCCATTCCCTCATTTCATGTCGAGCGGTGCCGAGAAGGCCAGAGCCTTGTGAAGCATTTCCGATTCCAGGACCTGGAAGAGGACCCGTACTTTCGTGATAATCCCCGTGAGTCTATTGCCTATAGCCAGTACCCCCGGCCTGCAGATTCTCCCCAGTGGAATTCTGACAAGCCGAGCTTAAAAGATATAAAAGTCATGGGCTATTCCATACGCACGATAGACTATCGGTACACTGTGTGGGTTGGCTTCAATCCCCATGAATTTCTGGCTAACTTTTCTGACGTCCACGCAGGGGAACTGTATTTTGTTGATTCTGACCCTTTGCAGGACCACAACATGTATAATGACTCCCAGGGCAGAGACCTCCTCCGATCACTGATGCCTTGACTCCTGCCAACTAGCGAGGAGGGTGGGTATCACGTGCTCCCTTCCACCTGGGGAGAGGGGGAGTTAGGGCTGGTCATTTGGTGATCACCCATAATGGAAGCAACCTGAGGGGTAGGCAATCAAAGCATGCGTCAACAGTTTGACCTAAGACTATGTAATAGCCTAACCTTTTGATTCTTTATTAGAGTCTTTATTAATTTCTCCTTGGTAATCGGACTGGGCTAGGCTGAACTATTTTTTCCTTTTTTGGACAATCACAGCTTATTTATTGAGTGGATAAGCGTAAAGGGAGCAACTGAAAATTGTCATGCTTTTAGCCATCAAGACCATAATAACCAAACATAACACTGTACTCAAGAAATACTGTAATTATCTCTGGAATTTAGTGCATTTCAAAAAGTAGCCATTGGTCCCATTAGGTTTCACATGAAGTCCCTGGTTCTTTTGTTTATAATTTAATTATTTAGCCCAATATATTCAAAATATTATGTCAATATTTCAGGTTTCAGGTTTGTAAAATGTGCAGTTAAATAATGCTAGATGCTAGGGCCTTAAAGTCTTACCTTCAACTTTTGTTAATAAGATTGCAAATTTTCAAAATCCAGAGATATAATGTGCATGAAGTGATTATGTGGAATTTCTACATCAAATAATAAATAATGCTCAGTAAAGTAGGGGCATGAGATATTTGGGAAGTTCAGTTAGAAATGTTCAGGAACTTCTGGCCCAAATAATAATTTGTTAGCAAGTAATATGACCCTTGATCTCAAAGATCACCTATTGAAAGGCACTGTTATTCACAGTGGAAAACATTTAAAGGCATAACTGTATCCATGAATTGAGTCACTCAAAACTGTTAGTGTTCTCCTTCTTCAGGAATGGTTGGTTGCAGGTATTCATTTATCCAGGAGGCAGGAGATACTCTACTTTTAATTGCTAATTAAAGACAACACTAATTTTATTAAATTCTGAATTATTTTGAGCATTGGGAAAACTTCATTTAGTATAATATTAGGTAATTTCTAATCCCCCAGAACATAGTTCTGTATTCCCTAAATATGAAAGTAACCAGAAAGGCAGGTGGTAGTTATAATAAGCTTAGCCTACATCATCTTAAAAAGGATGGGGTAGTCACAACTCATATTTATAACACGGGGAAGCTGGTCAGTTACCAGTAGTCATCAGAGGAGTCAACCACATTCTAAATAAACATCTTACGTAGTCCCTGTATCGAAGTGACTTATTTCTAGTAATTCTCTCTTTACAAGTGCTTCAGTGTTTAAAGGTAAATGCTTGTGAAAGAAAATTCTTCAGCCAATTAGGTTAAGTTACTTAAGTGTATTAAATTGTAACAAAAAAGGCAAGATATTATAGTAAAAGATGACTTCAAATCAGTAATTTCAGGAATTTTTTTTTTTTTTTTTTTTAATTAGCCTACAGCAGAGGTATATATGGTAACACAGCAATCTTCGAAGTGATTAAGTGACTTAGTGTCCTGGCAACAGCAGTTTCTAGTTGAAGAGTGAAGGGCCCTATTCATCTCTCCCGATCCTGAGGCTCATCTTTCTTCTGGAAGCCTCAGCTTTACTAGTAGATGGGTTCCCTGGGCCCTTTATTTCTCCTTCTTCATCCTCTTTATCGCTCTCATCACTTCCACTAAGATTTTTACAATCTAGTCTGTAAATTCCTCGTGACATATTTTCAGTGTATTTAGCTTTATCTCCTGCTCCCCAGTTATAATGATAAGTTTTAACACGGGCTTTTATTTCACATCCGTTTGTTGCTCCTGTTGGCCGCAGTGTGTACACTCCATCATTTTTTCTCGCTTTATTTCTTTTTATTTTTTTAAAGATTTTATTTATTGGACAGAGACACAGCGAGAGAGGGAACCGAAGCAGGGGGAGTGGGAGAGGGAGAAGCAGGCTTCCCGCGGAGCAGGGAGCCCGATGCGGGGCTCGATCCCAGGACCCTGGGATCAGGGTCTGAGCTGAAGGCAGACGCTTAACGACTGAGCCACCCAGGCGCCCCGCCCCCCCACTTTTTTTTCAAAGATTTTATTTATTTATTTGAGAGGGAGAGAGCATGAGAGAGACAGAACACGAGCAGGGGGGAGGAGCAGAGAATGAGGGTGAAGCAGGCTCTCCGCTGAGCAGAGAGTCCAAAGCTGAAGTTGAAAGCTGAACTGTGCCAGAGAAGAGTGAAGTGACAGATAGGTCGGGGGTGCGGCTGCCCTTCTGGCAGTAATTCACCCGTGTGACCAAAGCCACATCTGGGGCTGGGTCTACACGGGGCGCTTTTGTGTGTCGATCTGTCTCTACCGGAAGTGCTTCTGTCTCCTCTCTTCTATGCGAGGACACTGGCCGAGTGCTTCAGCTCTCCTTTGCTTTTGGTTTCTCTCGGCCTCCCTTTACAACCTCTCTCCTGTTAGAAGCAAAGCCTGCATTTCCCGTTCAGTGGCACGCTCTTCCAGATCGTCTCACAGGTTATGGGTGGTTACTGTTTTTGACACCGAACCCAACGTAGAGCCACATTTTCTTTCCTTTTGCACGTCTCCCGCACACGCTGCGATGAACAGCCACGGTCTGGTTTTCAGACGTCAGCGCTGACCACATTCCTTATCCTGACTCGGCCCAGAGTGAGCACAGCTCTGTGGCTCCACACAGCCCTTCTCGTGCCCCCGAGCTGGGCACGTTTTCTTCATGGTTTGTAGAAAGCCCCCCCCATTTCACCCGAGCGGGGCTTCTTGCATACAGTGCGGGTGAAACCAGAACTAGCGAGCCCAGGAAATTTGAGTGGCCCCGTTTCAGTGGCTCACCAACGGGAGGGTGCGTCAGAGCCACCTGAAGCCTTGCTAAAATTCAGCGTGCGGGGCCCCGCCCACAGAGCTTGTGCGTCATCGCGGCTGGGGTGGGGCCTGAGAATGTGCATTTCCTACAAACTACGCTGCTCCCCCCGAGAGTAGACTTTGAGAATCACCGCTCCTCGGTGTGTGCTGTCCAGTGGCCACTAGGCACACGCGACTGTTTAAATGAATTAAGATGAAATAAACATTTCCCAAGCAGAATCTGGGTTAGGCTTGCCACATCTCAAGCGCTCATCAGCCTGACGCCGTTAGTGGCTGCCTTATTGGAGAGCACAGATCTAGAACCTTTCCATCGTGGCAGAAAGTGGAACGGAGCTGCCCTAGACTAACTCTGAACGCGAGCCGGGTCCACCCAGCGGCTGGCAAGTTCCGCCCGGGGGCTGATTGTCCACCCGGTGTTTGCGTGCACAAAGGCTTGTCCAGAGGCGCGCCAAGGCTGTTTGGTTGAAGCGCGGCTCGGGGAGTGTGCCCTCTGGCCCTCGGCGCTCACCTCCCCCAGGGCTAGTGCCATCGCCATCACCATCACCAGCCCTCTCACCTACTTCCCACGTAGCTTACCTCCCCTCCTCTTTCCTCCCTTGCTCCTGAAGAATCCACGTGTCTTCCTGAACTCCCTCTTTGACCCCACCCTCTGCGAACACCGTCAGTGCCTACTACGGGGTCCACACAGACCTTCGCTGAGCAGTCAGAGTCTTCCCTGGCTCCACAAAGCCCCTTTCCTTGGCCGACCAGTGTGCACGCTGGTCCCTGGCTCTCCCTTGCCGATCCCTGCCTCCCTGCCCGCCCTAGCTTGTCCCCTTCCCTCGCCGTTCATGACCATTCTTCACACTCACTCCCCCGCCCCCACCATCTCCATGAGGCTGGCACTCTGTGACTCTAGACCGCGTCGTGGCATGAAATGAACAGGAACATCGCTAATCAGTCTTGTGGCCACTTTGGAAAAAAGGTATCTTTTTCTGAGCGCAAAGTTAAAGTGTTAATTATAGAAAAACTGGAAAACAGAAATGTAGTTAAAGGCAAGAAAACGCATCAGTATTTTGCCCCAAGATGGTCACTTAATATCTTGCCTTCTTTGGGCTACGAATTTTTTACATTGCTGTGGTCATCCTGTGTGTTTTATCTTATAGTTTTATATTCTTCTTTTTCTCACTAAATATTATATGTGGTTACTACAAATTTCTGCAAAGATGCTTTATACTGATGGTAATATATTTTATTGTGTAGCTTTTTTCATAATTAACCTTCTTTCAATGATTGAAAATTCAGCTTATTTCCAAATTTTCGGTATTGTAAATAATGCTGTGATGAACAACTTGGCGAATAAAATATTTTTATGTATTTCAAATTATTCCCTTAGGCTTGTCTCTCTGTGCCAAATTGTCAAAAGCTTCTCTGTTTGGCCCCTCTCCCCACTCTTCTGCTACCTTAAGGTAGTAAAACTAAAAATAAAGCAAGCATACAAATAATAAAAACCATAAAACCAAAAAGCCCCCACCCCTAATGATAATGGGTGAAAGTGGTATCCTGTTTGACCTTGTAACTCTCTGCTTATCAGTGACCTTGATCATTGTTCTCTTTGTAAAATTGTTGGGTGTGTGTATTTCCAGTCATGTGAATTTGCCTTTAAATTTTGGTTATGGATTTCACTTTTTAAAATAAACAAATTGCTCTTTTCCTGTCTGATTTTTTTTTTTTTTCCTGTTAAACATGGAGACCCTTCCCAATCTGGAGATTGAACACATATTCATTTTCCTTTGCTGTTTTTGTGGTTCGGTTTTATACTTCATCTACCCCGTCTCTTCACTGATTATCAGAGTCACATATGCTCATTGTATAAAATGTGGAAGATGTGGAAAATGGTGAGGATGAGAGGAAGAGCCCCCTCCAGAATACAGCCATTGTGACATTCTTGCATTTCTCCCCGCTCTTTTTCCTGCCCACATACATATGCACAAATGTCCTTTACATAGATGAAATCTATCACATCCAATCCTGTATCCTGCTTCTGTGATCTAAAATAATGTTAGTGAGGCACCTGGGTGGCCCACTCGGTGGAGTGTCTGACTCTTGATTTTGGCTCAGGTCATCATCTTGGGGTCGTGAGATGGAGCCCGGGTCAAGCTCTATGCCCAGCACAGTCTGCTTGTCCCTCTCCCTCTGCTCCTCCCTCCTTCACCCTGCCCAGGAGGCGTCAGTGAGGTCACCCCTTGCCATCATTCAGAGAAATCTTGCCCTCTGTAGCCAGGGTGAGGCTCCTCCAGCCACCTCGCTCATCTCGCAGCACACACCCCCAACATTTTTAACTGATTAAGACTGGGTATATACTCAAAAATAATTAAAAGCAGAGATTGGAACAGATAACTGTGCAGCTATGTTCACAGCAGCATTATTCACAATAGCCAAAAGGTGGAAACAACCCAGGTGTCCATCAGGAGGTGAATGGAGAGACAACAACATGTGGTCTATCTGGACAATGGAGCATTATTCCATCTTCAAAAGGAAGGAAACTCTGACTTAGGCCACTACATGGATGGCCCTTGAAGATACTGCTCTAAGTCAAAGAAAGCAGACACAGACTGATGAATACTGTATGACTCCACTTCTGTAAGGTTCCTAGAGTGGCCAAATTCATAGGAACAGAAAGTAGAATGGTGGTTACCAGGGGCCGGGGAGAGGGGGACATGGGGAGTTAGTGTTTAATGGGGACAGTGTCAGGCCTCACTGTGTGAGGGGCTTTGGGCATCCCTTCTCTTTGCCCAAGTCCAGCCTTCACACTACAGCTCCTTTGAGGAGTCTCTTGAATTCTGGCCTGGGATGGCGCGTTGAACTAGAACCCAGCTGCCCCCTTTGGCTCCGCCCAGTATCTCTTTTGGCCGGAGGTATAGTCCATCGTGGTTGAGCCTGCTGTCAGCCCAGCCCCCTCCCGCCCCAGTGCACTCGGTGTCCCCTTACCTTGCCCGGGCAGTCTCTCCTGGGAGACTTGAGACACGAGAACTTGAAGCTGAGAGGGTTGTCACTAGTCGGTGCCCTCAGATCGCCTACAATGTTGCCGTGATGGGTCAGAGTCCCCACTGCTCTTGGCACCTGCCTCCCATGTGCTCCTGAAGCTCCTGCTGATATCCCGTCCACTTACCTACCCGGTAGGGCAGATGCTGTTTTCCTCTCGAGTGTTTGCTGAAGTCCAGGCAGTCTGATGTGGTGGAGAGCCCATCCTCAAGGGCTTTGCTTGGGGGCTGTTATTCCATGTCCCACCCAGGATCGCTGGCAGCCACTGGTGGGGATCTCTGGATTCCGGACAACGGTCCTAGGCCTCTGATGGGGGTGATTCCAGGCTGGAGAAAACAAACGTGGCTTGGGTTGGCTCTGGTGTCTGGGAGGCCACCTGCAGGTGCACGCAGGGGGCGGTGCGGCAGAGCCCAGGCGGAAGGAGCGGAGCCCCGCCGGCGGTGGGGAACAAAGGCTTGCTGTCCAGTGTATTTGGCACCTGCAAGGAAGCCAGACTTAGGACGTGGGCAGAGAGAGGAGCAGCTTTTGTGTGTTCCTGTCTGTAAAAGTCAGGGACTGTGATTTATGCGGGTAAGACGGTTTAAAGCAGGACTGAGGCTGACATTTACAAAACCCTTGCCCTAATTTATTGTCGTTTCGGGTGTGCTTTGGAAAGAACCTTTGCAGGTGATTTATATTCAAAACTCATTATTTACTTAACAGGTTTTATGAATTCATCTCTTCCACACTATTGAAAAAGGTATCCTTGTATTTGTGTTAAGTGCAGCATGAGTTATTGTATGAATAAATCATATTAAATTTGCCATTATCATTGTGTGTGCAGTTCTTGCTGCTGTTTTGGGACTGCTTGATGCCGCCTGAAAATCCGTGAAGCCGGTTAACAGACCTCCCTCCTGACGTGCAGTTTCGCCCCCTTACAGTACCCGACCTGCTCCCACCCGTGGGAGGCCAGGCCAGGCAAGGGGGGCGGGGGAGGGGCTGGTTCTGAAAGAGCCGAGTTATTGGTGGCAGCTGATTTCTCTCAGCTTGCCCTGCAGTTAGAGACTCCCCAGAAAGAAGGAGGAAGGGGGGTCACCAATCGGGTAGGCCTCCATTTAGGGAAACCACTGAAAGGAAGGCTGACTTGTCCTCTTGAGGGAAAAGGGTGGGTTCGTGGGGTGCCAACTGGAAAAGAGCCCACTTAGTGCTTTTGACTTAAAAGGGCTTTAACAAACCCTGGCTTGTCATTTCCACCTTTCCTTATCGATGGCTTTGAGTGAAGATTGGGAAGGCATGCCTATCACATTTGGGGAAGAAAGTGAGAACACCGGAAGACGTCATAAACTTCTGAATGGGTCAGGACAGGCGGGGAGGATTGGGTCCATCTAAGCAGGTGAAGTGTGTCCAGTGGATTTATTTGCTGACTTATTCATTGTGATGAGGCAATACACCAAGTTTATTGGTCCGCAGTTTAACAGGCACACACAGGTATGCAACAACAAGGCATTTTCTATTTCATCCCACGCCCGGCCAGCTCTCTGTCCTCAGAGGCAAGCATGGGTACCCATTTCTTGTGAACTGGTGAAGTTTGAGAAGGATAAATGTAGGCCTAACAACTGGGCCCCAGGACCAAGGTGCTAAGGAGGGATGACCCAAGGGAGCAGTGTCACGTGTCCGAATGAACCTTCAACATTTTGGTCAGCGGCTCAGTGCGGGACTTCATGCAATGTAGGTGCCAGGAGTAAAAGCGATGTCTGGCTCCATCCGGGAATCCGGGAGGAGGGAGGCTGTCGGCTGCTCTGCCAGCACCTGGAGAATTGCGTTTAGCTGAGGACCTGGAGCTGTCGTGGAAATTCGGACCCACGGGAGCCCCGACGTGTCAGGTGAGCAACCGTTGAAGGAGGAATGTTCAACTTGGAGGAAAGAAGACTTGGGAGTAGGGTGGGGGGTGATGAGGCATGAGGGGCAGAGCATGGCATGGTCTTGAAATCTCTGCAGAACCACCCTAGGCCAGAGAGATCGGAGCAGCTCTCACGGCCCCCAGGGAAACACCAGCACTGGATGCTGCAGGGGTGCGCTTTTGGACAGCAGCTCGTGGTGGGGAGAGCCTGGTCCTGCACCTGGAGAACTCTGTCACCTAAGGTACGTCAGCTTCGCCTGGGCTGGTGGTTCTCTGTGGGGGTGGGGGACCATTCTGCCCTCAGGGCACATTTGGCAACTTCCGGACTCATCTTGGGTTGTCATAATCGAGAGGGGGCAGCTACTGGTGTCAAGGAGGGGAGAGGCCAGAAATGACAAGAGGCACGCCCAGGGCAGCCCCCACGACAGAGAGCCGACACAGGCAATCATTTGCCAGAGAACTAACTACTAAGACCCCTTCTGTCCCTGAGACATTTATGATTTGGAGAGTACACACTCAATTATTAAAAGAACTTGCTGACTACACAAGGTGAGTGGCCCTTTGCATGTAGACTTGAACATCTTTTTTTAAGAATTTTATTTATTCGGGACGCCTGGGTGGCTCAGTCAGTTAAGCGTCTGCCTTCGGCTCGGGTCATGATCCCAGGGTGCTGGGATCGAGCCCCGCATCCAGCTCCCTGCTCCGCGGGAAGCCTGCTTCTCCCTCTGCCTCTGTCTCTCTCTCTGTCTCTCATGAATAAATAAATGAAATCTTTAAAAAAAAAAAAGAATTTTATTTATTCATTTCAGAGGGAGACAGAGTGCCCGCGATAGTGAGTGAGCAGGGGGAGGGGCAGAGGGAGAGGGAGAGAGAGAATCCCAAGCAGACTCTGCATTGAGTGCGGAGCCTGACATGGGGCTCGATCCCACGACCCTGAGATCATGACCTGAGCCGAAACCAGAAGTCTGACACTTAACTGACTGAGCCACTGAGACACCCCTTGAAAATCTTTAAAGAGGGCAAGGAGCTTTCAAATCAAGATGAAGAATTTAAAACAACAACAACAAAACACTTCTCTAGTAATGGTTGAATTTCTCCTTTCTCCCTGTCCAGAGAGACTCCCGTCTCAGTTTGCTCCCCCTAGAGAAGAGGAGTTCTATATACTAGGTAATTTCTTTTCAAAAACTATATTGGATTCTCCGTTATTGCAAAAGTGTTTTACATATTCATCACAGAAAAATTAGAAAAATGTACAAAAGCAAAGGCAATAATCCACCAGCACAGTTACTTGGCGTAGCCCTTCCTAGGCAGAATATATTAAACCATTGGACCCTATTCTACATCCTGTTTGTTTTTCTATTTTACAACCTGTTTTTCATGCTGCATAATTTCTAAGGGCTTTCTCAACTCCAACTTTCTATGACACCCAAATCTGAAGCCTTTCCTTGTGAGCATGTGACAGTTTCCTGGAAGACAAAAGCAGAAACCACAGAGTTTCCTTCCTCTTCCCCTTCAGCTAGTAAACATGAGTATTTCTACCAAGGTTAAGACTGAGACTGCTGCTTTGCCCAGCCTTGGCCGTCACAGCGCCATGGGGTGTAGACATCCACCCGCAGACCGTGTGGATTTTACCCCTGTGAGTATATCCTGAACCCGTCCAGGTCTCTATCTCTACCAGTACCATTTTGTGTCCCCATCCCCTCTCACTGGGACATGCAACCACTTCCAGTTCGCAGGGTTCTTTGAAAAGATGATCTTGGAAAAACGCAAATCTGATGGTATTACTGCCCGCTGTTTGCATCTCCCCCACCCTCAAATATTTCAATGGCTCCCCACTGAAATGAGGACAAGCAGAAAAATACTTTCACCTGGCCTTTGTGTATGCAGTCCCTCCAGGGTCTGGCCCCTGCCGACTGGCCACAACTCCTTGTCCCAACTCCTACCCTGTCTTCCCGAAGACGCCCGTAACAAATATTTGGAGAATGAATGAGGACAATCTTTATAATGGCAGCATTGTTGTCCAGAACCCCCCGAAGCCTCTACTGCCGACTCTTCAGCTGTTACAATTTCGTTTCTCCGCAGAGAACACCGCTGTGCAATCATCTGTGTGCCCTTGTGTAAGCATTAACGTTTCTCTGCAGACGTGGAAATTGTAGAACTGGAAATTCGGGTCAAAGGTGTGTGTAGAGGACACTTGTCACAATTTCGGCCACCGGGATCGTAAGTGTCTTCGTCTGCATGGGAAATTGGCCGTGCTATTACTTTGGGGGGGGGGGAGGCAGAGTCCACTTGCTACTGTAGAGGTCCAAAATGCTGGGTGCCCGCTTTCCCTGTGGCACCCTTGTGGCTCGAATGTGGGCATGTGACCTTGACCTAGCTAAGCAGACGCCTTCCTCCCAGTGTGTAAAGCGGGAACTCTGGCGACTCCAGCTTTGTGCCAGGCTCCACGGTAATGGCCCTGGTGTCGCCAGTTTTTACAGTGTGATTTCAACTGTGGTCATGGCGGCTGCCTGGTCACCTGTGTCCCTACCTGGGCCTAAGACTGCAGCCTTCAGCCTTCCCTTGGGTTCCCTGGGACTCAATAGCTTTAAAAAACAAACAAACCCGTTTTCTGCTTTAGGTAACTAGAGTCGGTCAGGTAACTAGATCGGGCTCCCGATTCATGTAGTGTGTGCATTTGGCAATCTGGGAGCTGGGGCCAAACTGGCCTCCAGAGAGGTTGCACGAATTTACACTGCCATCAGCAGGCATCTGGCACCTGGGTTTATACCCCTCCTCTGATACTTCTGTCGCTTTGCAATGACCTCATTCTAGAAGGGGGCATTCCTTATGAATTTCTCTATGCTGAGCCTCTAACCCAGCGTGTGGCACATTTTAGGCACTCATGTGTTTGCTGAATGGATGAAGGAAGGAAGGAAGGAAGGAAGGAAGGAAGGAAGGAAGGAAGGAAGGAAGGAAGGAAGGAAGGAAGGAAAATAATTCTTTTTAAGAGTTTGACCAGAGGCCTCATAGCTAGAATTACAGACTCAGAGTCGGGAGGCCAACCATGCAGCTCCTCATTCCAGGAAGGGAGCTAAAGCCCAGAGGAGGGAAGCCACTCAGCCAAGAATTCGCAGCTAGCCTAGAGGAGCAGACCTCAGACCCAACCTACCAGGTCTACTCTGTGGTTACCTCCCTGTCCAGTTTTGCACGGCCCCCCGGCAAGGGCTGCTTCCCCGGGCAACATTCCTCTCCGTGGGTGTCCCCACCAAGGAGGGAGATTTCAGCTGAAATGATGTGCAAATGAGCCAGCCGAAAGCTGTGAAAAATTGCCTTTGTGTGTACCTGGAAGGCACCAAGGTGTGTGTGTATGAGTGTGCGGAAGGATCAAGCGCCCGCCTCTCTGTGGTCATATTTTTCATTTCCCTTTATTCTTTGTATTCCTTTCAAATCAAAGGCAGAGAGCCCCTTGCTCCGAGCTACATATATGAAAATGAACAAGGTTATGGGAGTCGTGTGTGTTTTCAATAACCGATCAGTAGTGCCTCCTTTTCTCGGAAATGAAGCAAGACTGTTGCTAGTTGGAGGTAAGAAGCAACGGGTACGAGTGGGGGGTCTTAATTCCACTCCTTTTGCCTTGCCCACATCCCCCAGCTCTCCATTTGAGTGTAACCAACTGGCAGAATAAGAATCAATTCTGAGCCCAGCCGCCTCTCATCTATTTAAAGGATTTTTTTTTTTTTTTTGACGTTTCCATCACCGCAGCTTGATAGTTAAAACTACTCACAAAGCCCAGTCCGGTTTGAAGAGAACATCTGTGAAATTGGGTCAGCAATGGTACACTGGCATGCAAGATGAAATATAACCCTGGTCTGGTCGGAGCTTCACAGCAGCAGAGCGCAGCTTTGTCTCCACGTGGCGCACTTGGATTTGTGTCTTTGGGCGGAGATCCTTCCACCCAGCCCGGGCCCCTGGGCGGCCAAGGGACGCCGTGTCTTCCGCAGCCCAGGGGCCAGGCTCTGGTCCCTCGCCGGGTGGTGCCGACAGCGTGCGGTTCCCCGGGTGACCACTGGAGGCCGCTGTGGCACCGAGAACGCGCGGAGGGCGCCCAGCTGGCGGACGGGGCGTGTCCTAGGAGTAATGACTGTCACACTCACACGCCGACTGTTCTCGAATTCTAGTCCAGGATTTAAAAGACACTGTTATGAATTAACGAGAATAAAAGACTCGGCAGATGAAGCGCGGGTCTCGGATCCCCTGGGGTTGTTTTCTAACTGCTTTCTAACTCATTTTCCCCCCTCTGGGACTGGGTTTCATTTGCATCCCACACGAGGCAGGCTTTCGATACGGCGAAAACGTCCTCCAAAAATGACACAAGAGGAAGAAATGTCGCGGCGGCAGCCTGTAGTATTGAGCCCCAAATACTTTGGTGAAACAGAATATTACCGTGTTTTCTCCATCACCCGGTATCGGCAGCAGGTACCAGCCACCAAGGGGGCTGCAGGTAAAATCTAGGACGTGCAATTAAATACGAATTTCAGATGAACAATGAATAATTGCTTTCTATAAGTATGTCCCAGATATCGCGTGGGTCATACTTAAACAAAGATTTGTTGTTTATCAGAAATCCCAACTTAACTGGGCGTCTTGGGTTTTGATTGGCCAACTCTGGGCACCTGACACAGGAAGGGTGACTCGGGTTGGGTAGCAACGAGCTGCCCTGAGGGAACTCGGAGACTGGCGTGGCCAGGGCTGAAGCTGGGCACAACAATCCTAATCCAAGGTGCGCCGTAATAAATGCCACATGTTCAGACAGAGAACGAATAGGCTCTCAGACCTGCCTAGCGGTTAGGGGTCTCAGACGAAGGGATTTGCTCACTTAGGAGCAGCAACTGGAGGTAAGGTTCTCCTTTTCTCTATTTGGTTACCGACCTCGCTGTAACACCTACACGGGCGCACTGCCTTTGGGGGACTCGACGCCAAGCCCCACTGAGTGCATCCAGTGGTCACCATGTCCTGGCTCTGGGAGGCCCTGTGCACACGGGCTGCGCTGATACGGGTCCTGCCCCTGGTGTGGTCCCCCCAGGCCCCACGGTGGGCCTGGGGCTGCAGGTAAGACCAGCAGTAGATTTAACTCTGAGCTGCCAGAGAAGGTGGCGCATCAGGCCTTTTGAATGTGGGGCTCCTGAGGTCCCAATGCATTAATGCTTCCCGCCTCTGACTCCTCACGAGGCCCTCCCATCTGACTGGAGGTCTCCAGGACTCAGTGGAGACATGCGGTCCCCAAATTTCTATTTTCTGGTTTGGCAAATAAACCAGATTTCCTGAGGAGCCCCCAATCTCTGGTCCTCTGGTCCCCTCTTTTGGGTCTGCTTGGAACATCAGCTGGCTCGGGGAAAACCTGAGCCTCGGTTGACCCCATTCTGCCACGTGAGAGCTGGATGACCTTGCACAAACCACTTAACTTCTCTGGGCCTGTTTCCCCCCAGGGTGGGGGGGGGGAAGGGGGAGGCAGAGCTCCTCGTGCTGGGTGTTGGGAGCCCTCGGTGAGCTGAGACCATACCACGCCCGGGCTGCATCTGGCATCTTCTCCTCTTTTCCCAAACTCCACAAGGTGGAGGAGAAGGTGGGACTCTCTTGAAAGTGATGACTCTGCACATCCCAGGCCACCACTGCCGGAGTGGAAACAATTAAGAGGGAAGCGGGTCTCTAGTTAGGGGGTACTTCTGAAAACAAACAAACAGCTAGTTAATCGAATTATCACTTGGCAAGTGTCAAGGTCCGGGACAATTATTTGGAATATTTCTTCATTGTTTGCCGAGGTCATGAGGACCTGCAGGTTAGGGATTGTGTTTCCATCTCTGCCCTCTCAGTACTGAAATTCGAGCCCTGACCCTGACCCTGACAGTGCCCCATGGGGTGACCTGGGACAAATCTCCTTCCTGGATCTGGGTCTCCCCAACCAGGGGCTATCCTTCCCAGCTGTCATACTCCAGAGTCCTGTGAAAGGCCAACTCTTCTCTACACGGGGTCTGTGTTGCTATTTTGCCTCCGTGGAAGGCTCTGGCTGTGTCCGTCTCCGTCACCGTGTCCCACTCGCCTGTGGCTGTGCATGCTGCGGCCCTGCCGTCGGCCTCGGGAGGGCCCGCCTTTCCATGACCACAAGCAGAGCTCATGGGGGCTCCATCTTCCAGGGGCTGCCCGGCCCAGTGTCAACAGAGCGTGGTCTCTGGAGCTGGTGGGTTCTGGAAGCACTTTGGTGGACAGGCGAATGAGCTCTAGGCTCGCATGTGGAGCCTCGAGAATAACAGGACTAGCTCTGTGACTCTGTTCTTTTCTCAGCCAGCTCCTCTAAAGGCCCCTGGAGTGAGAGACTTTGCACTAACTCACTGTGCCTGGAGGTGTCCACTCACCCACGTGACCCCTTTCTCAGCCCATCAACACAGGGTCCGGTCCACTCCTGGCTGGGGCCGCACTAGACTCAGCTGTGAGTGGCCCTGCAGATCTGGGCTCGAGGAGTGACGCTTCATTTCCAGCTCCAGGCCCCCGGGTGTGAGGTTTTGCAGGGAGGGGCGGTCTCTGCAGCCCGGCAGGAAACAGAGCAGGCTTGAATCAGCACCCGAGTGGTGGTAGGGGGGCGGGCAGGGGCCGGTGGGGCTGGGAGGCACAGTTGGCTCCAGCTTCAAGGGGCTGGTAAGACACCAGAGGTGGGAAAAAGAGGCAGACACCTTGAGCTGCTACCAGATTCCGAAAGCACGGTGATGCGTTTCAGAAAGGGGCGGCCAACAGGTGCCTTCTGGCCCACCAAGCCCCACTGACTGTGGAAGGCTGCCTAGGGCGCGTCTTGAGAACGTTTCTGAGGAAAAGAAAGATCAACTCATGGTGTCTGCCATGGACACCGGAAGGGCGTTCGAGGCAAGTGTTTGCCCAGTCTTCATGGGTGGAAATGGTGCCGTCGAGGAGATAGGGCCTCGGGCTGAGCGCTATATCACAGTAGTTTTGTGACTTCAGCAAGTCACTTGGCTATACGTTTGGGTGTATGTATATATATTTGTATGAATATATACTCATATATATATAGAAAGAGAGGGAGGGAAAGAGAGAGCGAGGGACACAGAAAAAGAGAGAGATTTATGATTCATTTTAAGGACTCAAGGGCTGGCAAGTCTGAAATCTGCAGGGCAGGCCAGCAGGCTGGGGGCCTTGACGAGCTGCTCTTGCAACTCAAGTCTGAGGGCCGTCTGGAGCGGAAGTCCTTCCTCTCTGGGAGACCTCAGTCTTTTTCTCTTAGGGCCTTCAACTGAGTGGATGAGGCCCTCCCCTATATGGAGGGTCATCTGCTTTGTGATCCGCTTTCCTCAAAGTCTACTGATTTGAATGTTAATCACATTAAAAAAAATACCTTCATAAAACATGTAGACTAGTGCTTGACCAGACAACTGGGCACCAGGCCCTAGTCAGGTTGAGACATGAAATTAACCATCACAGAGGTGCTCTCAGGAAACACCTGCAGAGGAATGAAGAGATGATACAGGAAACTAGCCAATAAAGGACATGTTACCAAGCCAGCTACCACTGAGGGCAAGAGGGGTTTAATCCTGGCGATCTCTAGGTACCAGAGTAGAGCACGTGCCTCTGAGTTGTCCTGCCCAAGGGGTGAAGGAGCTGGGTCACTCATACACGAACCCCCATCAGTCATACGCTCAGAGCTGTGGCTAATTCCTCACCCTTCCGGGCTGCCACGTGGGCAGGGGGCAGACACTAGTGGTCAGACAAAGGGACTCAGGTGCTGGCAGCGGGAAGTCGGGCCAGTATGCATGGAAACAGGGCTGAGGGACATGGGGGGCACCGAAGATGTCTATAAAACCGGGGAGAATAAATAGTACATCCTCAATCCCCCACCTCATTGAGAGTTTGTAACAGTAAGACGAGAAAATAGCTATGAGAGTACTGGAACTTTTATCTTTATAAAGGAGGTATAGTTAATTATTTAATTAAAAAGTTAGAACTTTAACCTAAATACCCTGTTTTTTGAATATTCCATTTGATCCAGATTGTACCGATGGATGCCATCTCAGGCTAATTCCTGTTCATCTTTCCAGTCTCAGTGAGAATGTGATATTTTCCAGGAGGCCTTCTTCATCCCCTCTGGCCAGGTAGGTCTCCAAGCACCCTATTTTTTTCCTTTAGAACATTTCCCAGCTCCGTGAAGGAAGGAACCATGTCTTTCTTGTTTACTCTTGATACCCCAATACCGATAACAAGTACCTGAAACATAGTAGGTGCTCAGTAAACATTTGACCAAAAAGATGAAGGAGATGTGGCAGAAAACCTTTACTGGAATTCATTACCAATTGATGAATGCTATAAAATAAATTCATATAACTCAAACTGGGATCAGAAAGGATCTTTGGGAACCTGCTTTAATGAGGAGGCAATAGCACTTTTATCAATGTGTTAAGTAAATGGGCACTCTTCAAGTACTGGAGGGAAGTTACACCCTTACATAGATTGACCCCTGAAATTATGTTTACACTACTAATTTCCTGGGAAAACTCTTTCATCAAAGGTAGTCTGTGTCAGTCCACATGGGCTGGGTTATGCTGTGGTAACAAACAACCCCACACATCTCATTGGGTAACACAACTAAGTTCAGTTTCTCATTCACATGAATTTTCCAATGCAGATCAGCAGGGGGCTTTGCTCTTCATAGTTGCTGGAATGCAGGCTGGTGGAAGCTCCCTTGTCCACCCCTGCTTTCATCGTCACCATGGTGGCAGCCAGGAACACCGAGCATCATGCCCTGGCTCTTCCAGCGTCCACCAAAAGTGACGTGGTTATATATCTGATAAGGCATTAGTATCTGAAAGACATAAACAATTCATACAACTACACAGCAACTTAATAAATAACCCAATTAAGAATGGGCAAAGGACCTGACAGACACTTTACTGAAGACATACAAGTGACCAATAGGTATATGAAAAGGAGCTCAACACTGCTAATCACCAGGGAATGCACATTGAAACCTCAACGAGCTATCCCCTCACACCTGTTAGAATGGCCATTACCAAAAAGTCAAAAGATAACAAGTGTTGGGGTGCCTGGGTGGCTCAGTCGTTGGGCGTCTGCCTTCGGCTCAGGTCATGATCCCGGGGTCCTGGGATCGAGCCCCGCGTTGGGCTCCCTGCTCGGCGGGAAGCCTGCTTCTCCCTCTCCCACTCCCCCTGCTTGTGTTCCCTCTCTCGCTGTCTCTCTCTCTCTCTGTCAAAAAATGAATGAAAATCTTTAAAAAAAAAAAAAAAAAAGATAACAAGTGTTAGCGAGGATGTGGCAACAAAGGGAACCCTTTTAAACTGTTGGTGGGCATGTAAATTGGTAGAGCCATTATAGAAAGCAGCATGGAGATTCCTCAAGAAATTAAAAATAGAACTATCATATGATTCAGCAATCCTGCTTCTGAGTGTATATTCA